GTTGTGTTGGTGGATGGGGGAACTGCATTTCATCTTAAGTTTTTGCTCAGTGTCTGTTCTACATAGTTGAACATACCTCCTCAGCTTGGAACGCATCGTTATGGCAACGTTATATGAGTTGCTGCGCTACAAAAGTGTGGATTGCCTGTAGGCCAAGTCTCCTACTGCGAGAATTTACAGGCTTTCCACCCACTCGGCTAGGTTCTTTCGGAAATAAGCTCAAAATGTGTTACTCTTGTCTCTAAGTTGTCTTTCTCTGTTATAAGTTAAAGGGCTGTTAAATCTTTAAAAATTCAATAGCGTATTTGATTACAATTACTATATTTGCCTATAAGAGTGATTTGTTGGGGGGAGGGACTAGGTAAAAAAGTATACCCCTCATATTATGCGCAATATATTGCCATGATCAGGCCCATCAAAGGAGAAGTATAATATTAATAATAATATGTGATGTCGAATATGATTTTCCATTGTTGAGCAATTCCCTACAACATTTCATTAGAGTCTAGCTAGGAAAACCTGCCACTCTAGTCTCAGATAACATCAGTCCTGGTGTAGCTACCAACAGTTCTTAAAGGTAAGAAACTATAGTATTTGATACAAGATCGAGTAGTACCCCGTACTAGATTTCTTACGTGTTGAGCCTCGTCCAAATTGTCAGAAATTCATCGTGTACTATTTATATATCGACGGCTGGATGCATGAAGAAAAACAAGTTAAAATTTTGACGATTTTGAAATCTCTAGAACATAGTCAAAAAAGAAATATTAATACTTCGATTCCGAATTAAGCTATGGCTTGGATATTTACAGAGTTAAGGAGCGGCTTAAAATCCCTCAACCAGTACCGATTACTCCATTTCAACCTAAAGTGGATAAAGTCACTTCTTGCGCTCGGCAGACCTACTAAAATGAACTGATTTTGGAATGAAAACGTACCCCATTGGTATGTGCAGGGTCGTGTTATAGGCCAGTATAATTAGGTGAGGTGGTATGTCTTTCAGACGATCAAAGAAGGGTCTTCCCCTTTACCCCGAGCAGACAAACAAACAGCCAAGCGTCCCTTTTATCCTTTTGTAGTTTGTAGTGCAGTGTGCCACTTTTTGTCTTTGTATTTCACGTCTTCAATTTATTGATTGGGATGTAAAACTCATACAGAATAAACAAAACATGTTTTGAATAAAAAATTATTATTACTATACGTGTCACGACATTTATTAAGGAATCAGGCGCCCGTCAATTTTTGGACATATAGAGCTATCAATGGCATCTTAAAACGTGTACATTTGCCTTGCATTTGCGAAAAAAAATACCAATCCATCTTTAATAGAAGTAGAGATATTTGCGATGAAGGAGGTAGGTGTCGGCTGATATAAACGGTAAAATTAGCCAGAAAATGGCCGCCAATGTTGGGTGACTTCGAAAGCTTGTAGTGTCCTTGGGAACTGGAAATTTACACTTTTTGTCCCTTTTATGGACGTTATTTGGTTGCACCCACACAGAAATATGTTTTGAAAAGGACATAAAAGGTGCTGAGGCAAAAACCAAAAAAAAAGAAAAATCGAACAAAAATTGCCCGACGCCCAGAAAAACGCTGGTTTCTTTGATTTCACTGTTTTGACGAGCGGCTGATTTCACCACGCTGCCTCACATTTTTTTATTTTTTTTTTTGTTGTTCATATTTTTGCTCAATCTTTGTTGTTCTTCTCGAAAATTAAGGCATAAAAGAAAAATGTGATTTATGTGAGTCACAGTGGTGAAGAGGCGTATATTGTTTTCTGTTATTATGAGTAAATTTATGTTTAAGTCGCCTATATAATATAATTATATATATATATGAATAGTCGGAAGGAGGGTGAGGGGGGCTGTGTTTTTTACAGTACTTTTTATTAACACTATTTTTTTTTAGAATTTTACTTTAGCGGATGAGCTGGGGGCAGGGGGGGGGGACAAAGAAACATGAATGTTGTTTGCCATCCAGGGCTGGATACGAGAAAAATAAACATTGCCATTATAAATAATATAACCTCTTTGAGTTGTTTTTTTTCCCCTCGGTTTCAATCGTTTTTCTTATATATTGCCCTCTGTACACCAGTCTCACCCACTGGAGGTTTGCTGACAACCTCTCTTAATATCGTGGGACTCGCAAAAGAACAG